GTAGTCGCGAATGATTTCTATTATAGAAATAATCGATGTTTCGAAACTGCTTACGAACCGCGGAGTCCTCGCGAAACAGATATTTCATAAATGCTTATCCATCTTAACAGATATAATTAATTCATTTATTTATCAATCTCATCGTTAATTACCGTTCTCGTGCGTCATCGATGTCCTGATCTGAATCTTTCTTTTTTTATTCGAGCGAAAACATTTAATTATCTTAACCATTCGATGCACTGAGAATAATAATAAATCTCGTGCAATCGAATAATGACAATGGATAATGCAAATATCTTTAATCTGGATATTTAATGAACGTTAAAAATAATTTTTAAAAGAGTGAAGTTTTGCGAGGACTCCGATAAAGCTTAAGTTCATCCTCGACTCGAGCAAATCTAAGGAGCAATTAAATATAAGGCTAACCGCGATTCGGATACTTTCGACATAGTGTGTTTCGTAATTTCATTATCATTCCCGTCGACAATAAGTGTTCTTTGTACTTTTGTACGAATCCTTGCTTAGCTCAGTCATCGCGACAGAACTCACACACCACGAACATATTACACGATACACTTTGGAAAGAAACTTGACGTAGGTGTCCACGAGCGTGGTACGGAAGAATTATTAGAATACAGATAATAGGGAAGTTGCGAAAGAGAAAGAAAAAAGATAGAAATATAAAAGAGGGAGAAGCGAGAGAATCGAACCCTGTATCTTTGTCACTAGTTGACGAAACGTTTCCGAATTCTGCACATACACTCCTTCACTTTTTTCCCATATGCGATCGTGTTTTCACTTACAAAATGAAGCATCGTCTTGTCCAACGAGTTCCATACGAGTCGTTTAAGAGCAGAATTTTTACACGATGCAGAAAAAATGTGAAACGACGTAAGGTGTACGGTTTTTTTTAAAGTCGATCGAAGGAACTGGTCGGATGAAGACGATCGAGATTACTGCGTGTTGTATATATTAAATATATATATATATATGAAATGAATAAATAAATAAATATATATATATATAAATATATTATAAATATTATGGTACGAGATTGAATTATAATAGTATTGAATATATGATATATATTCTGTGTCGAGGGCACTTGGCTTGCAACTCGTAAATATTAAACTGAATACTTGTTTATCCACTTGCACTCCAATTGCCGAGCGACCTGTCGTTATTCGTGAACATTTTTGAGAGGAAGACTATTCGTCGGTCAGAGTAATAAGGATTTAAGTAATATACGTTTTGAGCGTGTGCGAGAATTCGCGAGAAACGATAACAGCGATCGTTTCTTCCAATCGTGATTGGAAAATGGCGGACGCAGAGAAACGGCGGAACGTTGGATAGAAATGGTAAATCGATCTTTCACGTGGTTGTACGTTGCCAATTATGTACTTTGTATCGTTGTTCGCCATGTCGAAGTTGTTTGTGCCGTGGAAGAGGCTGAATTCGTGTTCGCGTATCGGTGTTTCGTGAACGACGCACGTTTCTACATTTCCGTTTAACCCAGTCACCGAAATTAGGGATAATTTTAATAAAGATTATCGCTTCGTGAAATCAAGCAATGATTAATGGTCTCTGTCAGTTATTGTTGTGATTAATGATTACTTAGAGTAACCCTTCAGATGTTTATAATTTATTAAATACTGATTACAGATTAGTCTCGAATTTAGCATTCATTACAAGAAATTATTTATGGTTACAGATTAATTGATTGATAGTTGTAGTTATAGTCATTGCATTTAGTAATCAATTACAGAGGTGTGCATGAAACAATTAATTATCTTATCATCCACTTGCACCAGTGAGTAAGTCAGTTTTGAAGCTAACCAAGAAGTTTTCTCCATTAAAAAGTTCAAGAACTTGAAAATTTAAACCGATGTAAATTTCTGAATCTGAAAATACAGAAATTTGTATATTGGAAAATTGTTATACTTCTAAAATTGGAGAATGAAAGAGAATTTAATAGTTTGCAAATAGGGTTAATCAAAAGGGATGTATTTTAATTCGTCGTTCACGGACCACGAGTAACTGTTAAGGGTACCTATTATTTATACGAATACTGCGTATTATCGTGTAAAATGGAATCATCTTATTACACACGCGAGGGGATGATTCGAGGAAAAGATCGAGCGAGGCCAAGTTACACGCAATCTTCAACCATTTTACGGTGTTCATGATCGAGTAACAAGGAAAATAGCGAATTCTGAGAAGCTTTGGAACCGCATTTTACGAGTGTTGCAGTTAAATTGGCCATTCCACGAACAAGTGATTAAATCGTTTTAGTGCCTTGAGGATTAAAATCTTTTTACAGCTGATTTACGAATATTTCTTGTAACACGTTTAAAGAAACATAAACGTTTCCTCTATGGCGAATCGTATTTCTTTCCATACTAGATTAACCCTTGCAACGAGCAAATTATTTACGAACTTTACAAGACGCGTATAACGTTCAAATTCTTAATTGTTTCTTAATATAAATGAAACTTTTGCAATGGAAAAGTTTTAACGTAATGGTCGATTTAACTGCAAGACGGTGGAAAACTTAGGACAAAGAACCAGCAAGGTAAAAGGTCACTGCCAAAGATACGCACCGAAAAATTTCAGAATCCTTTCACGAACAAACCGAGACAAATTTGTCCATTTCCCTCGAAGTCCCTCACGATTCCCTTTTCTAGGCACGAGAAATGAATTTTTCAAAGACTTTACCAGCATAAACGACGAAATCAACGAAACGCAGACGGGATTTCGTTGCCGTCTACTATAAAACGTTCAACCTGTTCAGCCTTCACGTACAGCTACAATGAAGGCACGTCGAAACGATAATCGATTGTACGCGAAAGAGAGAATGAATGTGTGCGAGCGTGTGTGTTTAAAAATATTATGCGTGAATACGTTGATGTACAAAAAAAAAGAAGATGAAGATGAAGAAAGAATTCCTTGCGGTACATTTTTAACGATATTAAGACACTTATTTTGTAATTGATTTATGTGGTTCATTATTTGTATAAGGCCAGTCTGAACATACATACTTTTGCCCGTGGATATAGTAAATGTATAAAATATGAGAATCGTTCGAAGATTCGTTTGAACGAATGTTTATGAGCTTCTGTTTCATTCGGAAAATGCTTTCGATGTAAAGAATTAATTGTGGGCATATTTTTGTGAGGGCAAATGTATGTAGACGGTCCAGTAGGCTTTACGATTAATTGTAACTATTATTTAAATCGCGATGATCATGCTACGGTTGTATTTGTACGCTTAGATACTAGCATTTGTATGGACTTATGTGTTGTACATGTGTGTACAGTGTCTTGCATTTTTTTTATACACTGATGACATATTTTTGCGGTGGATTAAACGAAGATACAAGGTGTTTATTGAGTTGGTATTTGTGAATTTAATGATTTTGTAATTTGGGGATTTTGGGATTTGGCAAGTTAGAAAATTTGGGAAATTTGGGAATTTAGGAGCTTTGGGAATTCGGGGAATTTCGGGGAGCTGAGAATTTTGGGATTTTGAGATTTGGGGAGTTAGAAGATTTGGGAAATTTTAGATTTTTGGGAATCTGGAGAATTTAAGAATTTAGAAAATTTTGGAAATTTAAGAATTTTGGGAATTTCGAGAGTTTGGGAAATTTGAGAATTGGGGGAACTTGAAAATTTGGGGATTTCAGTATTGGAAATATAGCAACTAAAAATAGTCGAAATTGTAAAACTTAGAAATTAAAAAATTAAAAAACTTGAAAATATAAAAATTTATAACTTTGAAAATTTTTAAATCTCTAACACACAATATCTGAAATATCCCATATTCCATAAATCTACTCACCAGATCAATAAAGTATTTATCCAGTTTTTATCACACATTGTTAAATACAGATACATATGCACCATATACCGCAACAAATAACGACAGAATTCATTTTAAAAACAAGATAAGAAGCCATCGCAAAATATATCGTCGTGTAAAATGAAAAACATGCAATATCCTGTATGAACATACGCATGCGAACTTTTTTTGAAATATTTTCTTTCATTGCGAAACATGAAAGCTCGAAGTTGAAGATTTGTAAAACATGCGATATTAACGGGAGAAAGATTTTACTGTAATATTATAAGAAAGCATGATCGTTGGCCATACAATGGAGTATATATATATTATATATATACATATATTTATGTTAAGTCTAGGTATTAAATAAGACTATAAAAAGATGATGGAGATAACGATTGCGAATACCTGAGTATGGTGTTCTCTGAAACATTTTTAGAATGTCATTTCACCGACTATAGAAGAGCAAAAATGGCTACTGAAATCCAACGATGATTTTTCGTTTGTTCAGTCAAGGTAACATTTTTCGATTTTAATTTGTAACGAGGGCCCAATGTTAAACAGAATTTATCGAGAAGGAGAAAACACTTTAAGAATACTTCAGAGATCGCTGCATTAAAGTTTAAAAAATAAAAAGAGAAGAAAAGCGATAAAAACGGTTACGAAAAGAGATTAAAATTGAATCGGAGGATGAAGTTTGAATGTTACACGGTCGATAAATGGAATACGATCAGCACACACGCGTGCGTATTTAAGCGTACACACGTGTGTAAATACACATACCGTATGTATGTACGTCACAGGTTTATACACACAGAAAAAACACATTGCGATCACACATTGAAACGAATACGAAATGGACATGAACATTTTGTATCTGTACTTTGTAGATACAACGCAATAGGCAGGAGTAAATCTAATTAAGAATTCAAATGAAATTAATATATAGAAGAGCTGTATGTAATTAACTGTAAGTTCATTCATCGCTATGATATTATACTTAGGTATTATATGATTTTTGAAATAAAACATTTGTTTTAAATATACAGGAGCGTACACGAGAATATGCCATCCCATCTCAACTTTCGTCCTTTAATCACGTGATTTCATTGTTCGATAATTATTATAAATCAATCGTGGTTTCTTTCGATTATTTTCAGGTACCTCAACGTCTCGGAACCTTGGCGAGTCGTGAGTATCTCTTCATTATAGGATTTTTAGTTCTATTAGATTTCATGTGATAGCACAATGCACTTTCGATGTCTCAGTATTTTGCACCAAAGTTTCTTACTAATATTCTTTTTTCTTGCTGGTGCTTTCCTGTACAAAGAATTCCGTGATAAACTCGACCGTTCGCCTGACAGAGTATATTGTTCCGAAACATGTGCTGACATCTTGCAGTTTTCGATATATCTGCTTTATAGTCGATGTAAAAGTTTACCTAATCGTATAGAAGATAAATTAAGTATTTATATTTATTGTAATTATTGTAATTTATTGAGCAGAATTTCAAATTTTTCTAATTTTTAAATTTTCAAGTTCTTAAACTCCCATATTTTTAAATTCGCAAATTTGTAAAATTTCTTCAGTTCGAATTTTATAATTTTAAATCTTCCCAAGTTTTTAAATTTTCAAGTTATGAAACTTCTAAAGCCTCAGATTCTCAAATTTTCAAATAACCATCATTCTTAAATTTGAAAATATCTGAATTTCCATGGCCATGTACTGATATAACATGATAGTATACTGTTATAATATCTTATACAGGTTGTTTCACAACCAGTGTAAGTCCCTAAAATGGGGGGTAGCTGACGCGATTCTGAATAAGATTTCCCTTTGCAGAAATGGGGTTTGAAGCTTCGTTTTTGAATTATTAAGGAAAAACGTGGACCAATCAGAGCGCGAGGATTACGCCCCCGCAGCCATTATGCTCGAGGGTGTCGCTCTCGCTGCGCACGCGTAATCCCCGCGCTCTGATTGGTCCTCGCTTTCCGCGTCAACTACCCTCCATTCGAGAGACTTACACTACTTGTGAGGCGTTCTGTACATCACCTTTGCACAGATATCCTATTTACTTATTTCTCTAATTTCTTTCCAATTTAACAACAAATATCCAATGGAATTGTTCTAGGCATCATATTCCTCGTTTTCCCAAATATTTAAATAGAAAATTGTAGCCGTGATTAAACAACGCATATGGCAATAAAATAAGCCAGGAAAACGGTCGAATGAAACGAGCGCGTCTGATCCCGATTTAACCTGATTGATCAATCGGTTATCGATATTTATCCAGGAAATCGAACACGATCAGAGACATAGCGGATCCGGCGGCAAGCGTAAATCTACTTCGTTTTGAGAAATCAAAAGCCACAGACGATGACAATAGGCAAAGGCAAGCCTTTCTTTCTCTTTTTTGTTCTCCATTTTTTTCCTCGGAAATGGAAAAATAAGCTTACGCCGATGTCAATGTGAAATCATCATTTCGTATCGAAAGTCTCAGAACTAACATTTCAACGGTTCATTAACGATCGTAGTATACATATCGTAACGATCGAGTACATAAAAAAGAAATATCGTCGATTATAAACCGATTATGAAAATAGAAAAAACTGAATCGCACTTTTTTGCGAAAGGTTTGATTTTAATATTCATTTTCATGCAACTAAACTATGAAGGATTTATAGATTTTCCAAGGAAATCGTCCGCGCTCTGATTGGTCCTCGTTTTCCGCGTCAACTACCCTCCATTCGAGAGACTTACACTACTTGTGAGGCGTTCTGTACATCACCTTTGCACAGATATCCTATTTACTTATTTCTCTAATTTCTTTCCAATTTAACAACAAATATCCAATGGAATTGTTCTAGGCATCATATTCCTCGTTTTCCCAAATATTTAAATAGAAAATTGTAGCCGTGATTAAACAACGCATATGGCAATAAAATAAGCCAGGAAAACGGTCGAATGAAACGAGCGCGTCTGATCCCGATTTAACCTGATTGATCAATCGGTTATCGATATTTATCCAGGAAATCGAACACGATCAGAGACATAGCGGATCCGGCGGCAAGCGTAAATCTACTTCGTTTTGAGAAATCAAAAGCCACAGACGATGACAATAGGCAAAGGCAAGCCTTTCTTTCTCTTTTTTGTTCTCCATTTTTTTCCTCGGAAATGGAAAAATAAGCTTACGCCGATGTCAATGTGAAATCATCATTTCGTATCGAAAGTCTCAGAACTAACATTTCAACGGTTCATTAACGATCGTAGTATACATATCGTAACGATCGAGTACATAAAAAAGAAATATCGTCGATTATAAACCGATTATGAAAATAGAAAAAACTGAATCGCACTTTTTTGCGAAAGGTTTGATTTTAATATTCATTTTCATGCAACTAAACTATGAAGGATTTATAGATTTTCCAAGGAAATCGTGTCGCATCAATTGCAATCGCACGCTTATCACGCTTTACGATCTTCACACTTCTGCTATAATTGCTTTTCTGTATGCTGTTGCAATGTATGTATTATTAATCGATCTCGCTAGATAACAATTGAAATTGTAACACGTCCCTTCGGCGCTTCGATACTATCTAGTTTATTATTCATAATTTGTAAGTGAAATTCTATTTAGTAGTTCATTGAGTAACTCTTTTAGCGTTGTACCTAAGTGAAAAAAAAAACTGAACGTAATTTTAAAAATTTGGTAAGATTCGAAACAGAAGATGGTAAAGATATGCACAAAATTCAGAAAGGAACAGAAATAAATGAATTTTGTAAATGTTGCTAACACTAAACGAGTTAATTTTTTGCTCGACATTGTTGCTCGACACTAAAAGAGTTAATAGCTTAGAAGTAACCTTTGCACCCATACGTTCGAAGATTTTTTAACACATCTACGCACGAGAATTTAGTTCGAGAACGTTCGATTGAAAAGCGAAGTAATAAACATTTCCTTCGACTTCTCGAAATAAAATATTCCATGAATCGTGAGTCAAGACATTCCTTTCTCTCATAAACAGCTATTTAATCTTGAATTCTTAATTTATTGCATATATTTTATTGCACTATAACTGCACTCTGAAACGAACATATATTAATATATTATCAATGTAGAAGTAATATAAAACTAATATTTTCTGTTGTTTTTAACAGTATTGTAATTATTTGAAGATACTTTAGGTGGCATTATGTTTGTGTGCTATAATTAGTCACCATCGTCTGGAATCGTTAACATTTTCATAAACTAGACGGCAGACAAACAAAAAGATAAATACTAATCAACGATAGCTAACACGTAATCGTTATGTAATGGTCCTGTTTGCAGTTGATTTAGTAATGAGAACTTCTTATTATAATCAGATAATTAAGTCTGAAGAATGCGTCAAACAATTAGATTAGAATTCTTAAACGGTAGAGGTAATGGAATGAGAGTTCCACGAGACAAAATGGCGACGAATACAGCGTCGCGTGATGTGGGTATCAAAGTGGAAACGTTTCAAACTTAATATTTTTACAACTATTTGCAACTTTTTTTTGTCATTTAAAACTTCTTACATAGAATAATGAAATACATTGGTTAATGTATAAAAAGGTTATATTTAAAAAGTAAATATTTAAAAATAACGATGGTAGTCTTAAAATTGTGAAATCTTTAAACATGCGTCATTTCCTGCATCTACGCCATTTTATCTCACTAAATTTCGTTTTCATTTTCTATCGTTTCAGAGATATTCTTACACTTCTCTAGAAGAATTATAAAAATTTCCATACTCACAATATTTTACTTTCAATTCATATCAAAAGTTGAATAAAAATAAAATATTGAACCATACATGAAAATCTTCAAACAAGTTTAATATTTTCCATCAATGATTCGTATTGAAAAATTGTTTCGTCTGATACGGCCTTGTCGCTTACAAAAACAATGAAAATATGGGTTACAAAGTTGGACAAACTTTGATATATTTATTCATGTTAATCATAGAAGCGATACAGAAAGTGCCGGCCGTTACTCGAGAACGGAAGTGGATGGATCGAAGGGCGGGAAAAAATCGAAAATCAGTTTGTCGCGGCTGTTCAAACGCAACAAGGATAAAGTATCGGGTGCTGACACGGATACTATGAGAACTGTCGTTACTGTCGACGATGAAAAGGTAATTTTTTATTTTTTGACAATATTTAACTCATGAACTCAATTCGATGGTAATCTTTCTATATTCATCAGCTATTTTATTGATTTCGAATCGCAAAACCATGTGTTCTCACACGTGTGCTTCTCACCTCATGTAGGTGTTGTGTTCTTGAACATCTAAATATCACCTAATAAATAAAAGTAAATAAGAGAAATGTAGGATAACATAAATAATGCAATTCAGTTGTAATCATGATACAAATAATAACAGTTTTATTTTCAAGCAAAAATGCTCTGCAAAACAATTATATTAAAGATGGAGTACGAGGTTAGAAGTGGATATTCACTAAAACCAATATGGCGTATTCGCTACTGGATCGTGTAAATTGAGAGAGAGATAAATGTATTAGTTAACGAAGAAATTTGAATGTTCGCAGCTTCAGAGCTCAGTGCCGGCTACACAAGAGAATAAACCTAATCCTTCGACGGGTGAAGGAGGAATAGTTTATGCAGAGCTGGACTTGACGCAGCAACAGCAAGGTGTCGTTGCTCCTCGTGTTCTCAACGAAGATAAAACAGAATACGCGGAGATTCTGTACACGAAACCAGCAACAGAGGAAGAAGCGCCTAAAGAATAAAAAGAGAAAACGATCGTTCGCGGTTGAACGTAGATTTTGCAAACAATCAAACGTTTATGTTTTCATCATTAACAAACACGCGTTTCGTTGTGGCGATCCTTTTCAGTTCAACGAGAATAGAAATAAGAAATCATTTGTTTTGTCATACGTGCATATGCGTTTTAATTTATTTTTTTTTTGTAGAGAACTTGAAAAATGTAAGTGTACGATGAAACATTAATTTTTTTAATGTCAGTTGCAATAGTAATGTAATTTAAATGGGAAACAATCGTACTTATTTTCAATAATTTTTTAACTTTTAGATTACGGGTCGTTAAGGATGCAATAATTTAAAATTAATTTTAGGCTATTGTTACTTCTTAAATTTTGTAATTGTTAGCAAATGTAAGAATAATTTAAGGCTTTAGTTGAGAAAAAATGTTAGTTTGATTTTAAAATCCATTTTACTTCCATTTTTTAAATTCTGAAATTTTTATTATAATAGTAAGGCAATTTAAATTAGAAATAAATTATAGATTAAGTGTTTTTATTAACCAACTACGAATCAGATTGTAATAATTTAAATTTAATTTTAGATTCCACTTCCATTTTCTCAATTTGTTATTTTAGCTCTAAGACTTCTATTTTATAAAACTATTTCTTTGAATATTATAATGTTTAATTATATGAAAACTCGTTTAAAATTTAGCTTATTTTTAGTAAAAACTAGGAACGGGTCACGATGGACCCACTTCGAGGATTCAATAAGTTTCATCGTACCATTGCATTTGACTGAAAAGGATCCAAGGATCAATTGTAGTTTCTAGTATTTTTTACGAGTTACTTTCTAAGTTACTTTAAATAAGTCTTTATAGTTGTAAGAGAAGGTATATGACTTAATACCTATTGTTTATCGAACAATATGACAAATTTGATTAATGTTAAGATGTTTGACAGATTTAAGAGAACGCACTGATTTTTAAAAAAACAGTTTTTATCAAAACACAGGAACAATGATTTCTTTCAAACAGTTTAACTTCCAATCATTTTACTCGTAGCATTTAGAATTCATATTCTAAATAGCGAACATTCAAAACTAGTTTGTCCATCGTAGTTTTACAGAACAAAAGAAATACTTTAAAGAAAGTGTGTTTACGCGGATAAATAAATTTGCGTTACCATAAATGTTAGTGTTAACCGTTTGCCTTTTATACTCGTCCAATAATCGTTCGAAGATTCAAGATGGTTGCATCGCAAAAATCAACTTAAAAACTTTACTCCATTCTCACAATTATAAGTTCCTAGATTCACTAAATTGCCCAACTATTAAAAAATAATTTTGCCCTCAAATTTTTTTAATTAAACTTCTGACATTTTGACATTCTTTTTATAAAATGCACAAACATCGTCAAATTAAAAAATTACAAAGCAAATTCTCAGATTTTTAAATTTATAGATTTTCATAACAGAGTCGAGATTTTCAAATTGAAAAATTCGTAAACTTTCAAATTTTTATATTTACAAATTTTCAGAATAAAGATTTCAATTTTTGAAATTTTTAAATTTAGAAATTAAACTTTCGACTTCCATTTTTAAATTTAGGTGTTTACAAATATAAGAATTTTTTAATTGACTTCGCACACTTCCAAGCGCTACATGAAAATGCTTTATATTGCCAATTACTACGTCATCCATTTGAATGCAAGGTGCGATATGTGTAGTCTTTTCGGAATTTCGTCAGTGTTTAGACTTTATTATTTGCATCCAATTAAATTCGATGGTGGTTTCATAATGAATGTGTTCGCGATACAACCACCTTAAGGTTGAAGATTGAGCAAGCGGAAAATGAAATACCTCGTGTGTAGAAACAAATGGCCGATGCTGGGTCGCGAAAGTATATCCTGAATGCAACGACGAAGCCTAATTATATCTTTCGTGTGCAATTTCTTCTCGAGATCAGTAAAGATCGGAATTCACGAAAGTTGATGCAATTTTTAACAACCACTCTATTCTCAATTTCCCAACAACTTTTTTGTAAACTACTTAAAAATTCCTATAAACTTCAATTTGCACAGAAAATTCGAGTTGTTACAAATTTGGGTGTTACAATAATTTCAAGACAATTTTATGAACTTGTACATCATTTGTGTAATAATCTTATTATGCTTGATATTAATTATTGATATTTATAATTGCATGTCTTTCAATATAATAATTGTGTCAAATTTCGTGAACTGACCTGGATATACCTCTTTTACTCTTATTTGCAGCCAATACAAGATTCAACTTATCTACTTTTTATTGTAAGTTTTACGTTTTTTGTAATAATTATTTGTTTTTATTTCCTGAAATTGTTCACAGGAATGGTATATGTGATCAAGTATATTAAGATAAATTAACAACTTTTGAACCGTTTTCTTTCATAAAATGCTTTTATTAAACGAAGAGAATTGTTTTTACAATGTACAATTTTTAATATTAATTGTATTTACTTATAAATACTGTTTGTCGTAATAAATTAATATGCTATTAAATATCGTTTACAATGTATATGATTCACCTCCTGTTCCTCTGTGGATTGGTAATCAAATTGTATATGTTTATACGTGACAAAAATAATTAAGTTGTGTGCTAATTAAAAGTATAATAAACATGTAAATCACTTTCATGTTAAATAAACGAAATTTTGAAATTTAACAATATAGTAATTATTTTCAAATTTTGTATATTTAAAAGAATATTTTTACATAATTTTAAAATAATTGACATTGCAAAAGTATGACTGGGCAAGTTGTAATATATAAGTTATATAAAGGACAATAAAATAAAAAGTTATAGACATCAATCACGAATATGTGACATTGGTGATTAAGGCGTTAATTATTAGTGTATGCCTGTTTTTACCCATCAAATAAATTATGACTCGATTAACAAGCTCGTGTAATTGATCCCTTGAAAGTGTATGTCGTACAAAGAAATTCTTTACGTGTTTGTGATTATCCGTTGACGTTGAATAAATTTTCCCAAGACATCAGATGCTTTCATCAAGGTAAACAACTTTTTATTTTATCGATTATCTCATCTTCTAAAACGTGTATTCAACAGGATGACGGAATAATCGCGTTCACTGGATCATTTCCTAAATAGCAATTTGTTCCGATAAAGAATATCATCATTTTTAAATAAAGAAAAAACTTGTTCTTCCGTTCAAACGCGGTGATGTGGACAAATAAAAAAATTGATAAATATTCACAAAAATGAAATAATAAATAATATAGATTACACGCTTTATTTTGTAGGAAATGTATATTTTACAACTCAAGGAATTTCAAATACCAATAAAATATCATACAGAGTCAACAAAATATCAACTGAGACAAAATATCAAGTTTACTTTCCATATTTTTCAATTTTCTTTGCACATCAAACTTATCAAACATCTCACAAATTCTCGAGGGTTATAGGACAGAACTACATTTTCAGTTTCCAGAATTAATTCCACCTTGACAATACAACAAGAGATTACAGTAACCACGGATCTCCTTGTATCCCTTGATCTCCTTTCGAATCAACATTTTAATCCTCGCCGGCAGTAGTTTCCGCTTCATCTTCCCATTCCGTGTCATCTTCTCCCTCCGTCGCCGTATCTTCTCTCTCCGTCGCCGTATCCTCTCCTGCCGTCACCACCGACGCAGCTTCTCTTGGGGTACCGGGATGATCCTTCTCCTCCGTCTCTTCTTCGGTAATCGTATGAATAGCACTCGCACGTTCTCCAGCACCATCCTTCTGTTCGCTAGTTCTAGGAAGTCGATGCTTATACGTTTTATAGACATTCTTGGCCATATCCTTCGTCCACGCTCGGAATTCTTCTCGAGCAGTTTCCGTGAGGAAGCTTCGGGCAGCGGTGCAATGAAGGGGCCTTTCGTTCTTCAGAACACGATCAGCAGCGAAGTCCACGACTCTAGGATAATCGTTGCAGGCAGTCAGGAACTCGGTGACAGATCTCACGACCGGAACCTGCGGTTCGAAGGAGTCGACTACGCGGGCCTCGCACTCTTCCGGTACATGTTTTAAGGCATCCGGATCGAACACGGGTGTGGGTTTCTCCAGAGGTACGGCTTGTCCCAGATTAATGTGCCAAGTGGTGCTGACGTGCATGCTGGTCTTGTTTTCCTCCTCCAGGACTGGTTCGACCGAAGGCCATTCGGGATTTTCCAGCTCGTGACCCCTCAACAAACCAGTAGTGAAATTGTTATTGTACAAAAGGTAAGAGTCTCCTTCGGGAGTCGAATGAGCACCCGGTATCGGTGCAACAGGTTCATCCACCTTTCCTGGAGTGGTTCTCACAGGCTCCAGCAGGACTTTCTTCTTCGTTTCACGGACTTTACTGTCCATGAAGTTGAAGTCCTCCTGTTCGAACGTGAACAAGACAGGTGTCAAACGAAAATCGAGCCTCTGGTTCGTGTTGAGCATCTTTATAATCGCGTAGACAAGTGAGTTCATGTTCCTGCAGCGTAGCACGTAAATTGCGCCGCGATCCCTCTCGAATAAGGGAGGTCCAACCCAGCAGGGATCCGCTACGTAGTATCCATCTTTGGCTGCCAAGACGGCTAACGTGATCCTGTTACACTCGATCAGAACGTTCGGTGATTCTTCGAAGGCTAACACTAACGAGTTGGCTAGACTCATTCGGTTTTTGGCGCCATAAAGGATGCCGCAGATGCCTTCCTTGAAATCGATGGACCACGAGTGTGGGAAGATCTTGAAGCTGGGCTGCAAGTTGAACACGTTGAAATACTTGGTGTACTTTTTCAAAGAGTTCCTCAAGCTTTCCGTGTAATAGGAGTCTCCGCAGATCACTGCAGAGTCCAATATGGCGGGACCCCATCTCGATGGATGACTCAGATATTGCATGGCCAGCACAGCCACGCAAATGGCGGCCTGATTTTTCCCAGCACGATCGCCGAATCTTGAATCATACGAACCGATCGTACCCCAAGCTGAATAAATTAGATTGGATACTTCAACCGCGTAATTATTCCAGAATTGTTTCATCGTTTGATCCTCGTCCTCTTCGACGTCCTTCTTCTTCCTCGTATTAGATTTCACGATGCTGGGAGCGTGCCTGAAGTTCCAGTGGTAATCTACGTACAACCACATCGGATCCTCCTTGAAGGTCTTAGAGGCTGGAACGTTGATCGAGTCCACATGAATTCGGTGAATGAAGAAACCTGTCGTCTCTTCGAACTGATTCAGACACATGTTCTTCACCATTTGGCAGATGCTTGGAAATATGCAAAGACATGCTTTGCCATTGCTCGATACTCTTCTTCCTTTCTCATTGCACTGATAAGGATCTAAGTAGTAGTATGCATTCGTAGCTCTCGAGTACCAGAAACCGTAGCAGCAGTTCGTGAATTGTAAAATGCCGCTTGTGTGCGATTTGAAGTATTTTCGCAGATGTCTTCTTAACTGTCAAATAATTGATGGCGGTTATTTATCAGAAAATTCGTAACTTTGAAATTTGTTCATCTCTAATATAAGAAGCAAATTACTGTGTAAGTCAGAATTCAATTAATAAGAGATTTAATAAATACTATGGGTAAAGAAAACATGAATCACCCTGCATCATAAAAACATCGTTTAAAAAACAACAAAGAGAAAACTAACTTGAACGTAATAATCCGTCCTCATGGTCCGAGGATTTAGCGTGAGTGTTACCAAAGGTGACGCGCAATCACGGAAATCGAATATCCTGTTCATCAGCGTAACATTACGTAAAATATGCTTAGTATGAAACTTCGGCTCCGAGAATTCCCTGTACACCGCCTCAGCCACCTCAAGAATTTTATCCACCATCCCCGGTATGGGGCTTTGGATAATATCCCTGTTCACCATCACCGCTAAAATAGCAACGAAGTAACATCTTTTGACTCGCGGTTCGATCACAGCATCCCTGTTGTTAAAAGCAACCGTTCCGAGCACGAAAATAGGTTTAGAGTCCGGAATCGTGGGTCTGAAGATCGCTTCAAGATTATAAGGTTCGGTGGGCATTCGATGAATTTCCGGCAAAGAGGAACTGGGCACCACCGGTTCGTGAAGACCTTTAGTATCGCTGCAATCAGGATCTACTTTCTGAGCATAAGACACCGTGATCACTCTCATCACGAACATCGCCTCGTCGGGCTGATTGATCTCCTGAACGATCAGCTTCAAGAACTCCTTCATATCCACGGTAGTAACGAACCTCAAGTTCTTCGTCCTCCTGACCGTCCACCAAGCGAAACAGTTCCCGTTCCTCCTCATCACTCCCACATGAGCATCCCCGCAGACTATGATCGCTCCAGAGTACGCAGGGGTTTCGAAAATCTTCTGCAAGGACATGGAAAGGTTCCAACCTTCTACGGAATACAGGGTCCCATAATGCAGAGGCACGAACACCACCCTGAATACGTAGTTGGCTATCTCGAATTCTGGCAGAAGACCATCGGTCATGTCCGCCACGGTCGAGTCTTCGGTGGCTAAGAGGCTGTCGAATGTGTAATCCACGCTAGCATCGAACAACCCTCTAACAGTCCTCACGGACCATGTGATGGGATCGTGGATCAAGGACCAGGCTATAACGCAAAGATCCAACGGGGTCGTGACCGCCGAGTGAGGCTTGAAATTCCTGTCGTAGATTCTCCTTCTGACCAACAGTTTAGTAGCCTCGAACACGTCCATGCCTTTCGTCAGCCTCAGCGAAGACTTCTTGAAGGGCGCCAACCTCGGAGTAGTGATTTCGTTCTCCAGAACGATCACGTCCAGCATGGAAGCGTTGTAGTATTTGATGGGAGCGAAGCCTGGGATGGTCATGTCGTACACGAGGCTCGTTTTCGAGTCACCCTTCACCCAGTCCGACTGTTCGATCAGGGAGACCTCCGACTCGGTGGAGAGCTCCTCTTCGGGTGGCTCTTCTGGACGTACCTCTGGCTCTATTTTCTTCTCCGAGCAACGGAACACCTTCTTCTTCCGTTTCTTCTTGCGTTTTTTGGACTCCATGTGGGCTATGCAGACTGCGTAAATTCGGTACGGTTGTTTCTTTTTCTCGTCGAGGGTGCGCTCGATTCTCTTCATCATTTCGTCCAGGTCGCAGAACTCCATCAGACAGCAGAATCCCTCGTCGCTGGCGTTACCATTCTCGTCGCACGCGTAAGCGTCGAACAGGTAAAATCGATCGTTCGCTGTCCAGAAGGCGTACGAACAATTCGGGAAGACAAGAATGCCCGTCTTGTTTTTCTCTAAGAAGCATTCTATTATGAACTGCAGCTCGTCCTCCTGACAGTTCTCCGGGTCCGCGTAAACAGCCTGCTTCGTGATCACATTGTACATCGTATCAAGGATCTCGATGTGATCATACCATCGGTACGGCTTGTATCGAAGCTTTCCTGTTCGCTGATAAATTTTGTCGCCGAGGAAAACCAGCTGGTCCAGCGTAGTTGGACGAAAATTATCCGGGTCTAATTTGATCTTCGCCAGGACGCAAAGTAACGCGGAAAAGAAACAGGATTTGAAGTGACACGTTTCGCATTCGGCTCGGTTCTCCAAACACATGTTGCCTTGAAGTACTCGAACCCCGTCTGCGGTCAGCTTTGAATAACAAGGAAAATTATTGAGTGCATTAATAAGTGGATGCTAATATATAATACGGCAACATTTAATGTTTGAGTCCTTAGTAATTTAGCGAATTAGTAAAAAATAAAACAATGATGCAGTAAAATAATAAAATAGCAAATTAGTGGTGTAGTAATATAATAGAATAGTTGTATAGTATAATACGAAACATGTTTCGTAATTGATCTTGCATTTACTTGCAAACGAGCTGCATCGCGTTGCCGCTTTCCTTTCTTCTGAACAGTTACCGCACTCTTTCGTATCGTTGATCTCGGAGCGTCCAGCAGTGCTTTGCTCGAAGTCTTTGATCTTTCATCAGCGGCTCTTTCCTCAGGTGTCTGTTGTCGCAACAACCAACCGAAACGTAAAGTCGAATTTTTTAAACGAAAAGCGACGCAAATATCGTTTAAATACAAAATAAGCAAACTAAATTTACGACCTCTACGTCTTTTACACAAAATCCAGATCTGACAATTTACGACTACAATAAATATTATTGTCGTCTTTAATGTGTATGGTAATTTTACGATCTCGTTCCCAATCGAATTTGGAACGATTTCAAAGTAAAATAAAAGTTTAGATTACAAACCTGAACTTTCGCTTTGAATCCCGGAAAGAATAATTCCAACAACAGATCCTCGGTGTTACAAAGGATCTTCTCCATCAGGACATCTCCTTCGTCGACTTTAGCCAGTAAACATTTCCGTTTCTTCTTTTCCACACAAGTAGGCGGTTTCTTCTCCTGCAACGGTGTCTTAATAGTCGGTCCAAGAGGCAATAACTGCGGTCGTATCCGGATTCCTACAGGTACTTCCGGTATATCTTCAAGAACGAAGTCGCTCTTATCTTTGTGCTCTTCTTCCGTCGCTTGCCCCTGTCCTTCGTGATGAATATACATATCATTGATGGCTCTGAGAGGCATCAAACAAATCGGCAGAATTCTAGAATACAAGTATCTCTGCGGAGACAGTTTAATCATCTTCGAGGGTTTTGAATCGTCCCCCGAGTCGGGAAAGGTCATCACCAGAGCCGATTTCGACATAAATATCGAAGCCATTCCTCCTTTCTTCTTCACGTCTAATCGGGAATCGATGGAGAACCTCGAGACCAAAGATGGAACCGATCTCTTCGCTCGTTTCGCTTCGAGAAGTTTGATCAACGTTTTATTCGAGGGCATCACGTAAGGTGGCGGGTGATCGTATTTCAGCTTCTCCATTGCTATCTGCTCATGCACCTGTTTCTCTTCGTGATCGTTCTCCTCCAAGACCTTCATGTTGGACGTCAGCAGAATCAGGTTCAAACGATACGGAGCATCGGGTTGATCCTGTTCTTTGATCTCGAGCAAAGGATCCACCAGCGGTTTCTCTTCTTCCTCGACAACCTGTCTACCGCGACGTCTGCCTTCTTCTTCCTCCTCCTCCTCCTCTTCCTCTTCTTCTCCTAGCACGATGTCCTCTATAACCTCTATCTCTTCAGGTTCCGGTTCCTGCAATTCTGCCTCCAACTTAGATAAATCGTCGTCCGTGATTGGCAGAAACCTCGTCTTGAAGAGTTCTATCGCGTCCTCGGGAACCTCTACCGGGTCCTCGGACGCGTACAGACCGGGTTGTATCGTGTCTAGTCCCACGAAATGAATCGTGAACAGGGGGTCGTTGAACTCCATGATACCATAAAGGAGATCGGTCAGTTCGTTGAGACTCCCCACCACGGCAAACGAAGCAGGATAATCTCGAAGACGCCAACCTTCCTCGTCGCTACCGTACGGATTGAACAGGAAGAAGTGATCGCCCTCTTTCCAGATTCCATACATCAATCGCTTATTCTCCAGCACTAACTGTGGATATCGATTGAAGTAACATTCCAGAGCCTCGGCAAGATTTGCCAGAGGACTAGCTTCACCTTGGATGATCTTCATCTTCGTCTTAAAAAACACATCGTTCTCGGCGAGTTTCAATCTGACCGGCAGCATCGTAATATCCAAGTGACTCGGTGCGGGCAGCAATCGCTCTTCCTCTTCTCCCTCGCCCAGCTCCTCCTCCTCTTCCTCTTCTTCTCCTTCTCCGCCTATTTCTCTTTCCCTCGCCTCGGGTCGCCCTTTTCGAATCCAATCTATGACTTCGACGTAAGTCTTGTGAGCCACGTCGATAACTTGATCGACGTCTATGTTTCTCCATCGAGTGGGCTCCTTCAGTTTGCTGTAAGCAATGGCCGTCAGGGCTGTTATCAATCCTTGCTTGCCTCTGGACGGTAAATCAAAACCTTCGTCTAAACAGTTCTTCGAACCCTGAACAACCAAACGGTTAGGATTGATTACTCTGTAGCCTTTGACGATTCTCGTAACAGGTTCCACAGTTTCGGTAGGTTCGGCAGGTACTTCGGGTTTTTCTTCTTCCTCCTCCGTCAACCCTTCGTCTTCATGTTCGGTCTCTTCTTCCTCTTCCTCTTCATCGACTACCTCCGGTTCCGGTGGCGGCTCGGGTGCTACGATCGTGTAAGTTCGCGGCTCATCGTCCGTCATCATGAACGATTCGGCCTTCTTCATCAAGTCTGGACACTGAACACTCATGTCCCTCAGTTTGTCCATTGAAGGTCGTACTCTCGGCCTCATGTCTATCGTTGCATCGAACTTCTCCTCTGGGAACATCTGCATCGGCGGCGGTTGTGGTCTTCGATTTGTGCCCTTCTCCCGATAGATCACCTTCTCCAGTGGACCACCCGGAGTGGTTCCCGTCTTCACATACAGAACCCTGACGCCGTGTATCACGAAGGGATCCCTGTCTCTGCTACCGGTGTTCTCGATGATGGTCTCCATCACCTGATTAATAGAGCTATTCATCGTCACGCAGGCGGACTCGCCTTCCTTCATATGCCCATCCAGCTCAGCCGTTCCGCTCCTGAAACCCTCGTCGTCGCAGGCGAAGGGGTCCATGAAGTAATAAGTGTCGTCGTGTTTCCAAATAGCGTAATAGAAGCCTTTGATCTCCAGCAGGCCGTTCGTCTGAGTCTCGAAGAACTCGCGCAGCCCGTCGTCGATACCGAGTTTGCCCTTTTTCTGCCCGTAGCCGGGAACCACGTTCGTTCGGATCTTCACCTTCGCGGAGTAAGCGCCCAGAATAATGTCGCCCATGATGTCGTCCAGACGCAGCTCGAATTCCGGGTCGCTGAGGTCCTTATCGAGGACACGAACCAGGTCAACGAAGTATATGTTGGACTGATTAAAGATCAGGTCGATCAATGCGCTCGTCCATTTGTTGGCGTTCACCAGACGCGAGTAAACCAGAGCCGCCAAGGCGATCACCAAGTAGGTCCGATTACGAAGAGGTTGCGGGATCGCCGGATGAGTCACGTGGTAGGAACCTTGAACCACTGCGCGATACGTTTCTTGCACCTTGTAACCGCTCGGTCTTCTTTGCGGTTTCGTGTCCGGCTTTTCCGGTTTGTCGGTGTCGACTTGCTGGGTGTAATGGTCTACGCCGCTGATCGCTATGGCATAAAGAACGAATGGCTCATTCTTCACCTTGCTCTTTTCTAAGATGATGAAGAGCACGCCTATTAGATCTTTAACGAGGAATAGCTTCGCCGTGCCGCTGATTCCGTCGGCGGCTGGCTCGCAGTTTTCCAGTCTAGGTTGACCGTCGAATATGTTGTAATACTTCGCGTCCTTCCAAATGGCCACGTCGAGCACCGGTGACGAAAGAATTCCAGCATTGTGACGTTTGAAGAATAAGTCCAAAGCTTTCACCAGGTGCATTCCCGTGGGTTCCGTAGAACGGAACGTGCCGGCGTAAGCAGCTTCCTCGATACTGACATTCACCGTCAGCCTATTCTGCACGCACAGCGTCCGTTTCAAATCCAAGATAGACAGTAATCGACGATCGTCCGTGTTTATGTCCTTATACGACTCGCAATAAAACGTATCCCCGTCCTCGATGATCTGATCGATAACCGCCTCATTCCAACACCGAGACTTGTAGATTGTTGTAGCTGCGAACGCTGCTATCGCCGTTGCTCCACCCTGTTATTGAAATAATGGGAAAGTGGATAGAACTCGAGGGCAGTAAGCATGAAATTGCTACGATTATGACTGGGGATTTGATATAGCTTAAGTTACAGAGAATGTTTCGGTTCTGAAACATCGAGCTACTAGCGAATGTTGATCGACCGAAATTTTGACGTTCACGTGTCATGATTGTAAACGAAACTTGTAACACAATACAAGACTTTCAGAACTTAATTTACCTGGTGACCTTTCGACAACGGTGAAAATTTGGGCATGTTAATATGAGTCAATCCTGAGCGAACGCCATATTTCACGCAAGTTGGGAGCTCCGGTCTGATTTCGGTTAAAGAGTACGTGTCATTCGGCAGCTGAAGATAGTGATTCAAATCTTGATACTGTTCCTCGAGTTCTTCGTCGTACTCATCGCTACTGGGAGCATTGTCATCAGCAGCGCGAACCACATCGGTCACTCGACCAATAGCGTTCACAGTTTCATCGGAAACAACTTCTTCACATTCTGCGAGCTGTATCAGTTTATCTTTAAACATATGTCTCCTCTGTCGGTCTACTTCAAACACGGACTTCGCTCTCGTGTCTCGTTTCTCGACCATTTCGATGATTTTATTTATCGATCAGATTACCTCAGTTTGTGACACTCGTTAATTTGAAAATGTTTCTCTTGGAACATTTTTGGTACCCGTCCAGAACGAGTAACCTAAATGTACCTTTCAAATTTGACTGAAAATTTTGCTACGAATTTTCTGTGGATTACTTGTGTTGTTTATCGTAGATTAGTAAACTATAAATTTCATCTTTATGAATGTTGATTGACTTAAAATTTTGGCATCTTTCGTTCGTCGAGAATATGAAACGAAGTTGATAACGAATGTACAATGAAATTTCGAAACAAACGATAAGGGTTGTACTTCGTGCTTCAAACAAAATTCGAAAACGTAGAAGGATGTAATCAACTTTGGAGGGACACCTTCGAAATTCAACATGTATTTAATGCACCGAAAACGCCATGTCAGACACACATCAGGCAACATTTAACTCATTCATGAAATTAATACACGTTTCAATGGCTACCTAAGTAATTCCAAACTCCAAACATGTTGCGACGCGTCGATTGCCAAAAATATTGGAAATGGAAACGGCAGCAGGAGAAAAAATCGAGTGCAAAGAGGAAGGCGAGAAAACGGAAACGTAAAGAGTCTGTGACTGACTGCATCGAGGTTGAAGAAAGCGAAGCTGCAGACACGGCATTGAAGGTTAGACGACCTAAGATCAAAAAGAAGAAGAAAGACACATGGTTGTCGAGACCATATATCAAATGTGTCCCATTGGAAGAATTAATGTTGAGATGCATTCAACCTCCGATCGAAATAAGGGAACAGTTTCTTCGTCCGCGTCATATTGACTGTCTGAATCTGGACGCGTTGGACATCGATATATTGTCTCCGGAAGTCCTGAAAGCTACAAGTAAGATCACTGTAAAAATTTATGGGATTGTTACAGTGAGTTGTTTGAAAGTATTGAATCATTTTGTTGATTAATTTAATTTAGTTCAGTTTAGAAATTCATGTGTACATGTATGATATGTGCATACCTCTGTTAATATTTTTTTGTTGAAATGAAAATTTGTCTTTGTAATTTTGTCAAACAATTCATCAATCCTTGATAATGCAAAGTATAAAATTAACAATAAATTTAATAGAAGATTATACTGTAATCGAAGTTGGCTATTCGAAAAATGTTTTAATTGCAAATAAAGTATTCATAGAGTAACGATCGAAAAAAAAGTTTTCAGTGAACAGAAGTGATATTTAAGAAATAATCGATTAACATAAATAAAAAGATTTATTACGTACTTGACGAAACTGGGGCATATAGGTCAATTGCTGATAGCAATTGAATTGATCAATTTTTTCTATATATTCTGTCAAAACAATTTTCTCACGTGTACGTAAAACCTGTAACTACTTCTGCGTAACCAGACAGTATTGCGACATTGCCAGTAATATCTGCTCTAATTACTCGTTTCTGTAACAGCGTCGTTGGTCAGTGAGACGCAAGAAGCCGATCAAATTAAGGATCGTAAAAAATGTAAGACTGCTATGAGCATATTGAGGAAAAAATCATCGCGTAAAGTGATCGATGCAAAAGATATCGAGGACGCGGAATCGGAAGAAGAGGATTGTAAGAGTATTTGCTCTACGGACAGTCAGATATGTCTTCAAGGTAACGTTTAATTAAAATTTAATATTTATGATGGTATGAATAGATATGAATTCTTATTCATATTTTTAAGTTGATGGGAAAATAATTGTTAATCGATATTGGTGATTGAATGAGATTCTATGAAAATGGTAATAAGTTTTAAGGGATTAATAAAATGTTTATTTTACTTTATTCAGGAATTAAAATAACGGCGAAAGACAAGGAGGAAATGAAGAAATTTCGAAAGCAGAAAAACAGTAACAAAGAAAAAGAGTGATGGAGGAAGATGAAATAGAAATGAAAAAGGAAACGTAGATTTATTAGGAAATGAAGTATTACATTTCCAAACGGTGTATATCTATTAAAAATACATGTAACACTGAACTATAAGTATAAAGAGAAAAATAACTCCTACAAAGTATATGTGCAGATCTAATAACGTCAACTAAATATACTACCAATTTACTCAGTAATGATGTGTTTATATTAAAATCTATGTGTACTTATAAATTTCACAGATTCATAGTAATAGCAATCTAATTAGCATCCTTGAACCCGAAATTATTTGGCGTGAAAGTTGTTCCTGTATACAAAAAAAAGCATTTCCAGGATTTTCACTCGGTTGAAAGTTGTTGAATATGCAATCGGGTGTATAGACCACTTGCATGGATTATGTTGCAATGTTAATGACTTGTTATTTAAAAATGTACGTGAAACTAGAAATACCGTAACAGGGCCAAGTATGCCGATTTGTAATACACTTTCGTTTGATTAGTCGCTTTGGGCTGAATCATAAATTCAAATTATTTTTATTATATTTCGTAGCACTGTTGTAACACTCGTATTACTAGAAACATTCAATATTTTAATGTTGACAATGAATAGAAGACTCAATAAACATAAGCAATGTTTATTAATAATATACATTAACCTAATTTTTAAGAAATTATAATGCAAAAATGTTTCCAGATTCATGAAATCTGAGTTCATTTCTCGGCACGCGATATGTGTGCCGTTTAGTTTAAGAATCACGTTTTCTCGAATTCTATACGAATGCACTTTCAGTTTTATTTACTGATATCCCATGCGTTGCATCGTCCAGAAATACGTACAAAAATACAACTGATAAGGCATAACAGTCGATGTACCGATGTCAACCTATGAGTTAGCGCGTGAAGAGGTGTTTAGAAGAACTACTAGAATTTTTTAATTTTTGACCGTAAACTTGGTAATCGTGTAAGATGATACTGTATACTGATGTCAACCCATGAGTTAGGGCGTGAAGAGGTGTTTAGAAGAGGCAATTCGTCAGAATAGAAAAATGGAGTTCATTTCACGATATGTGTGCCGTTTAGTTTAAGAATCACATTTTCTCGAATTCTATACGAATGCACTTTCAGTTTTATTTACTGATATCTCATGCGTTGCATCGTCCAGAAATACGTACAAAAATACAACTGATAAGGCATAACAGTCGATGTACCGATGTCAACCTATGAGTTGGCGCGTGAAGAGGTGTTTAGAAGAACTACAATTGGTCAGAATAGAAAATGGACGCCTCACACGTATTTTCGGTAATATTGGCTCGAGCGATCGCAATTAGGCGAAAAACAATGACAGGCAAACACGAGAGTGAGATATTGCGAATTGCGTGATGCAGTTGTTATTGTCATTACTCTTATTTGTCGAAATGTAACGCTGGAAGTGTTTACGGTGGAGCTTCTTTTACTTTGGGTCACGCGTCAACTCATGGGTTGACATCTGTAACTTGTTGGTGCTCGTTCGAAATATTTATAAACTCGGTTCGAATGCTTTGCACTTTTAAAGAATGAAAATTGCACCATCTTTGCTCGGTCAAGTGTTCACGGTGAGGCACTCTTTTACTTTGAGTCACGCGCCAACTCATGGGTTGACATCCGTAGCACACAACGCAGATTCGTCCAGTATGAATCTTTCACGTTATCGAAGGTCATAAACGAGAGCGGTTTTTAGAAATCTGCTTATCAACTTATTAAAATGTATTTATAAAAAGTGATTCATAACAAAACGTCGATCGCAATGTTACAAATTACATTCGATTACGTTTAACCTTTGTAACCCAAATTTTATGTTTGAGACAGGAAATCATAAAGTCATGATACCATTGATAATGTCAGATCAATTTCATTCATTTACATAAATTATAAGATCAATTTCGTGGATAACTCAGACAAATTCAATTCTTCGTTTTGTGAAAAAATATCTTAAGTTAAAATTAGATTTATGTATTGACCTAATACAAGTGTACTAATGTTGAAACATAACCTTTGAAAAAGCTGGGTCATTTATGACCTACATTTACAATATTCATATAAAGTATCTCAGTGACTGCTACAGAACAATATCTTTGCTACTATCAATAATATCAGGGAATGCTCGAGGAATTGACTCAAACGGACACGTACGATGTGATGTATTTTTTCCAAGGTTATTTCCGAGATTTCAGTCATGAATTTTTTAAATGGATTTGTACGCTTTTTTATGTAGATTCTATGGAACACTTTGTATGAAGTATTAGGTTAATTTTTAAAAAGTTAACAAGGAGTCAGTCTATTCAAAGATTCAAAGATTCAAAGACTTATACATTAATAACCAAAGAAATGATCAAAGTTCTAATGTTCCAAAACTTCAAATCCCCAAATCTGCAAAATAAAAGAATCCCAATATTCAAAAATTTCCAAATCCCAAAGTCATATAAAAATGAATATCTCAATCCACCTCTGCAATTTTACATTTCTTCCCGTACACCATAAAGTCATCGGTTATCAAACAATTGATGCATGATCCAATAAATAGAAATACAGTGACCGATTCTGACGTCAAAGGTTAAGTATCGCAGCCACGCATACGCACTAATCATAAACATATTAATAATTAAATTGCAAACCTATCCATGTTATTCCACATGAATCACAATCGATACAAAGAAAAAAATAAAAAAACATTCCCTATCGTTTAATTCAATATGTACGAGAATAACAAATTACATCAACGAAACAATTTAATTAACTATCGACTGTTATGTAATGCCTAATGATTTTATAATAATATAACACCCACGCAACTTCTAATACATAGTATGTTATAGCTCTAAACGGACGATCCAATTCCTTATCAGTCCGTAGAGGCAACTGTCGGTTATCAGTGAACGATTTCAGAATGTTTCGAAAAAGGAAGAAAAAAACGTCCCCGACGAATCGAACTATTGCGTTCAGTGCTAGAGTGGTCGTCGTTGAAGACGTCCAATACTGCACTGAAATTCTTCTCCAAAATCGAAATTATAATTCGGAAATCGTGATCGGCCTGGTGTGAAGTGTGGAATTTCATTGTTCAAGATGTTCTGTTACGCTAGGATACCGAAAATAATCCGTAAGTAAGAAATCCCTTTATAAGACCATAACTATTTAATGGCCACAACTATTTTATTCAAATCTTAGGTCTATATGATCTTAAATTATAATTACATTTTTATAAGTAACTGCATATGGTGCTCTTAAATATTTTCTTTACATCAATATATGTAGTCGACACATATATTTCAATTTTACATTTATCTCGCAAGTATTTTAAATTTGACAGAAATAAATTGAAAATTTAAAAAAATTATAACGTGTGTCAATTGTGGAGACTATAGGTACTCATACTGATTACATTAGTAGAACATTAAGAATTTTAAATATAAATCTTCTGTTGACAATTACATTACTCACATTTAAATAAAAATATATTACAGACGAAGCTTCAAAGCTAGTTCAATTTTTTTTAATTTATCAATATCAGATGTAAGATGTGTTACAATTTAGAACACAAATTAATATCACCATAACATCAGTAAAATCGAAAAATTATATTTTCCAACATACTACAATAATGTATAGGCTAACTCAGTTAAGAGTGTTGCAAGTCATACACACTCATTTTGTAATAATAATAAAATCACTGTACCATTCTCCATCTTATCCACCATACTTGCACAAAACAGTCAGTTTTCAACATAACCTACAAGTTTCGTAAGTAGGTCTACTTTCTTCAATTAAATGCTTGGAAGTTATTTTCCCGTCAATTACATTAGTGCAATCAGTAAATAACATAATTGTGACGAAAATATTTCGTTCGAATTCCGCTACAAGGATGAAGTTTGTTTTTCATTCTCTATCTGTGCGAACGAAGCTTGTAATCGTCATTGTTTTGATTCTTTCTTCCTCATTGAGGAGAATGTGACAAGAGCGGCGTGTTCTTAAATACAAATTGCGAAATGACCATGACCGTAAATATACCGGGACAGTTAACCTGAATTACAATTTACATCTCGTACAACGTTCGGGTGAAAATCAACGTGAAATGGAAATTCAATGTTTTCGGTTTCTATGTGTGAGTTGCTATGCATTTAACCGTTAAAATTGGACAGGTAACGTTTCGAATAATCATGTTGTTATAGTGTATATTTGTGTGTAGTTGTAACTGGGATTTTAGTAGAGAGAATTTTGGGAAGTTGAGATATTGGAAGTTGATAGCTTGGGAATTTGGGGATATTGGAAGTTGATAGCTTGGGAATTTGGGGACTTGGAGATTAGGGGATCTTGTAATTTGGGGATTTGGGGATTTGGAGATTTTGGGCAGTTGAGGATTTGGGGATTTGGGGATTTGGAGACTTTGGGCATTTGAGGATTTGGGAATTTGGGAATTTGGGGGTTTGGAGATTTGGGAATTTGGAGATTTGGGGGTTTGGAGATTTAGGAATTTCGGGATTTGAGGGTTTGGAGATTTGGGAATTTGAGATTTGGAAATTTTGGGCATTTGAGGATTTGAGGATTTGGGGATTTGGGAATTTGGAGATTTTGGGCATTTGAGGATTTGGGAATTTGGGAATTTGGAGGTTTGGAGATGTGGGGGTTTGGGGATTTGGGGGTTTAGAGATTTGGGAATTTGAAGATTTGAAAGTCAGGAGATCTGGACATTTGAAAATTTGAGATTTGAAGATTTGGAGATTTGAGGATTTGGGGATTTGGGGATTTGGAGCTTTAGAGATTAGGTAACTAGAGAATTGGAAACTTTGGAATTAGAAATTTAGAAACTTAGAAATTAGGAAATTAGGATGTTGGGAAATCAGGAAATTAGAATGGACGAAAATCCACAGCCCTCCGCAACGATAGTGCTGATCTAAATTTGGCGAAATTAAAGCACTGATTATCGTGTTGAATCTCGAATGCACAAAACGAAGACGCAAAATCGTGCCTCATTTGTATCAACGTTAATAAAATACCAGGAAATATTAATACTGCAATCATGACAAATCAATGGTTTTGACGTCTTCCGTGACTAAATGAAAAACCTTGTGTTGAAATGATTGGATCGTGGATAATTTATACAGATCACTATGACGTTAGCAAATAACGAAGTACAAAAGTACACTAGATTTATTAAAATTTCAAATTTTTAATTTTTTAATTGATAATTTCCCGAATTTCTGCATTTGACAATGTCTAAATTATGAAAATATTAAATTTTACCTCTAAAAACTCGAATTTTCCAAATTTTCTTTATAAATATATGTAATTCTCTGTTATGATATTATGTAGATATTTTAAATCTAACTTATTTGCATTTATTTGCACAATAACAAGAATTTGTTTATAAACAGAAGGAAAATTAAAAGACGGATGTTGACATACATATACGCACACACACCGCGTTAGCTGATTTTTTTGTAAAAATGTATATTTCCTTTGTAGAAATAGAAACAGAATACGTCTGACTCTACAATTAGTAATCTATCATTTCTTATGAAATCTAGAATTAACATAGTCTGTAAGGAAACGACAAAAAAGCTGATAAAAGATTATATCTTTGAAGGATAATAATAATTGCAGCACCAGCTGAAATTAAAATTGCAATAATTTTTTTTATTCAATGACTATTTTTATCTAGTCTTCAATATAACACTAATTTGTAAAATGGAATTTTTCTTTAATTCCAGAAAATAGTTTCCTTATTACCCACTTTGCAAATATTTCTACTTCTTATAACACCTTTTCACAAAATATTAATAAATTTGAAAAATAGAAAAAAGAAAAATGTTAAGAGACTTATGAATTATTTTTCAAAATTAACCATTATTTCCATAAACTTTATTATATAAAATACTCTATGAAAATAGTTATATAATAAAGAAGTTTTTACGTGTTTCTAAATCATTTTGTAACTTTCATTCCACTTTGTACTATATCAAATTAATTAGCACGTAATTGTAAGGTAATAATAGCATTATAAAAGCTGAATTGAAAATTATACTCATGACGATCAATCAATCAAGGTAACAAGTTTTATTCCATTATTCACAGTGCATTAAAAAAATTTGACGCGTTTCATCACATGTCAGATCGTTTGATGAATTATGACAAGTTAAGCAAACACCCGGAAGGTTTGCAATTTTGTAATT